GAAACGCTGAAGGGAAGAAATAGCTGAGATAGGGAAAAGCACGTCTGGAGCCAAAAAACGCTGTGAGGTTTTTTTTTTTTCATGAGGTACATGACAATATAACATGGTCAAAAGCTCCAAAAAGAGAATATTACCTTTCAAATAAAAGAATTTCATGGAACATATAACATATTTGATTTTAAAGATCCAATGTAACCCTCCCTGTTTTTGCTCTTTTTATTTTTTTATAGCCTTGGCTGACCCCAGGGGCGCACTGGGACAACAATTCAAGCTGGGAATTTGATACCCTAAGGGGGCAGGATTTATTTTGTTGTTTGTTTGCTTCACCACAACTTTTTTTCACTTTATGTTTTTTTGTTTTATTGATCAAAAAAATTTCAAACCTTCAAACAACTATAAATACCTGCAAATTTCATATCTTTTTTTTCTGTGTATTTATTTGTTGGTCATAGATGTATGAGCAAATGTAAATTCCAAAATATGTTTTTTATTTTATTTTATTTTTTTTTCCAAATATCTTTATTGGTTTTAACAAAATAGAGCACAAAACACAAACATTAACATTTGGCCCATTTTCACAAGTTCAGGAGTCATTGTCAGTTACTAGTTGCATATGGGGCGACGGTGGCACATGAGTTAAGTGCTCGCCCTGTAATCGGAAGGTTGCAGGTCCGAGCCCCGCTCAGTCTGTCGCTGTCGTTGTGTCCTTGGGCAAGACACTTGATCCACGTTGCCTGTTGGTGGTGGTCGGAGGGACCGGTGGCGCCAGCGCTCGGCAGCCTCGCCTCTGTCAGTGCGCCCCAGGGCAGCTGTGGCTACATCGTCGCTCATCCCCACCAGTGTGTGAATGTGTGTGTGAATGGGTGAATGACTGATTGTGTTGTAAAGTGCCTTGGGGGGTTCCAGGCCTCTAGAAGGCGCTATATCAAGTAAAGGCCATTCACCATTTTACCATGAATAACAAAAATAAACAGCACATAAAATGGGTATCATGAGGCGGTGTGTACATTGGTACTATAGCACCAGAGCTCTTGTAAGAATTGTAGAAATATTCAGTAAATGACAGAAAGTGTTCCCATGTTTTAACAAAAACATCATCCTTGCAGTGTGAACGACATGTCGGGTAATCAAGAGAAACATAGTTGATTATAACCCTCTGACACTGTAACTTGGGAGTTTTGTCAGTTATCCAATTAAGGAGAAGACATTTTCTAGCACAAAAAGTTAGCATTCTGTTGAGTCTCCTTTTATATTCATCACTGACAATAGGATCAGCCACTCCAAGTAACAAAAATAAGGGATTATTGTTTAAGTTAACAGACAAAATTGTATTCATTTCCCCTCCAATAGTCTGCCAGAATTGTTTCTCTTTATTCCAGGACCAGAAACAGTGCGTAAGAGTACCAACCTCAGTCTTACACTTCAGGCACTGTGAAGATGAGGAGGGTTTAAATGTTTGCCTTCGATAAGGTGAGATGTGAGTAAGTAAAAGGACTACCATAGGTCATTCATCCCCTCTGCAGTAAGAGTGTATAACTCCTCAGTTTAACTGCTATTGGCAATATTCTGTTACACAATAACACCAATGTATTATTCAACAAGTGTTCAATACTTGTGCAATAGCAGATGCACATGTCCCTGATACTGTATAGTTCTGGAAGCCCAGCGCCAAATTTCTTGTAAAGCGACTTGTGAATTTTATCTTGAGAGGTGCCGTATAAAAGATAATTTTCTTTCTTTCCAAACACACCCACATCACCCCGCTTCTCCTCCAGCTTCACTGGCTGCCAGTCAACTTCAGGGTTCATTTCAAGATCCTGGTTCTGGTCTATAGGGCCTTACATGGACAAGCACCATCATACATTGGTGATCTTCTTAGTCCCTGCACCTCCAGCAGGTCCCTGAGGTCCAGTGACCAAAGCCTATTGGTTGTGCAGCACCAGGCTAAAGGTCAAAGGTGACAGATCATTTACTGCTGTGGCCCCCAGACTCTGGAACTCTCTCCCCCTGAGCCTGAGATCAGTGGACTCAGTGGTCTCCTTTAAAAAGTAGCTGAAGACTCACTTGTTCAAGCTGGCTTTTGTGTGACCTTCTTCATTCTGTAGAGTCCGTTTTAGTAATAAAAGTGCTTGTATTGTGGTCTCGGCTTGTGTGTTCGGCCGCTCGGTGTCGTACTTCTCCTGCTACGTTTTCCCCCTGATTTTAATAGAAGTTTGTATTTTAAGGACAAAAGAGAAAACCACAGACTTTATTAAGCTTAGGGCGGAGATGGACCACATGTTCACTGGAGCAAAGTATTCGGCGGCTGTGGCATGGAGCTACAACAACATCTCATATTTTAAGTTTAGTTTTTTCTGTGAAAACATGAAAGGAATAACCCGTTGTCCTCTTTTCTCTTCCTGTTTTTTTTTCTTACATGTTAAGACTATTCTGGAGAAAATGGGCATCCAGGGGAAGGTGATGACCAGCTTCTGGACCTGATCATGGAGGACTTGAGGCTGCAGAGGGAGGCAGAGCTGCAGAGGGCACAGGAGAGAAGGGAGTATTTTGACAGGCTTTTTACTTTACTAGAAAAAATGGTTAAGAAAGATTAAACATTTACATATAAAAGAAATATCTAAATAAAATCAGTTCTGTATTAAACTCTTGAGTTTTATTTTTGTTACAAATGTGAATTGTTTAATATTACAGGGTAACCGCTAGGTCTTGAAGTCTTAGAAGGTGATAAATCGGTTTTGGTCAAATTAAGACCCTTAGAAAGTATTAAACACTATTATCACATCTTTGCTCAGGCTCAGCTTGTCGAAAGTATTTTCTCTGAATTAGCTCTCCAACAGTCAAGGAAATGATTAAAAATCTAAATAAAACTTCGAGCTCCATCGCTCCTTCTGCTCAGCGGTTCCACGGTTGCTAGGCGACGGAACGTTAGCCGAGGGAGTGGCGGGAATTCATGAAGGCTAGGCCTGTACAAATTCACAGCCGTTAACATCCGGTCTACTCGGCCGACGGAGGACCCAGCCCACGTCGGCCGAGTAGGCTGGGTCCTTCGAAGGATGCAGACCCTGAATTGAGACACAGCGTACGTCTCGATGCTAAATCACAGTGATTTAGCATCTCATTAGCCACGTTTACATGCGCATATTTAATCGGATTGAATGCCCATTCAGATTGAAAATTCTGCATGTAAACATGTCAATCAGAATATTCTGATCCGATTCGGCCCGATCGGATTGAAATTTCAATCCGATTGAGAGAGGTGGTTTATTCCGTTCTTCATTCCGATTGACGTGCATGTGCACAGCCATTCGGATTGTTGGGGTAAAACAATGCCCACTGCGCATGTGTGCAACAGCCAGCGGGCCTCTCCGCTGTCATTTGGACTGCCTGACTTCAAAAATGACGGTGTAATTAACAAGCGGCGGCTTTTAAATCCGACAACAAGCCGTCCCGTTTCAGTAATATTTAATTCAGAACTTGCATTTTGTGGAAGTAAAATAAAAATCTGATTATTGCACAAATCATTCGACAAAGATGTTCAAATCTTTACTGGAAATACGCAGGTTTATCGTGGGGGTTGCAGCGCACGGATCCCCGTTTCTGTCAGCTTTGAACACAGCAGCTTCTGCAGCAGGTGATGGAGACACGCTTGTAAAGAACACAGGATAATCTGGGTTTTACAGACCTGATTGGAGGCTGATGTTGGGTAGGAAAACGTCATCGGTTAAATACTCTGGACGACAGTAAAGTCCGTGTTCGTTAAAAGCACGTAAACGCAGATGACCTGAGATGCGGTTAGTTAATGATGAACACAGGCTTCTAAACTTTCTGAACATCTTCTGTTATTTTGTTTGAACAGATTTTTCTCAACAGTTTCAGCTGATCGTCACATGTTATTAATAATAAGCCACAACAGAGCTCAGTAATAAAACATGAGGCTAACCCCCACCCCCCCCCCCCACCCCCCCCCACCCCCGCTCTGTGCCGCAGCGCAGCGCAACAGCTGTCAATTCAGACCTGCGGACCAGCTGATCAAGAGGCAGACATAACCCTCCCTTATTTTAATCAACAATAAAATGCAGCAAAGCATATATCTGCAGTTATTCACTGAAGAAAACGTAACTTCTATGAGCTAAATAAAAATATTAAATTGAATAAATGGATCAGGAAAGCAGGAAGAATAGTTATTTCTGTTTTTACATTTTTCTTTTCATTTCATGGCGTTTGTTTACAATTTTTCTTTCGTGAAAGGCAACTCTGCGCATGCTCAACGTATTTAATCGGATTAAATGCTTGGTGCATATGTACGCACGGCATGATCGGATCATTTCAGTTCGTGTCCATGTGAACAGAGATTCGGAAATTCCGATCAACCAAGATTTCAATCGGATTGAGGAAATTAGGCACATGAAAACGCGGCTACTGACTCACCCATCTTGACTCACGAAGGGGAAGGCTGTTGTTGGTGCGTCATCCAGGAAACAGCAGAGAACGTCTCAGCTAGTAGAAGCAAACCGTCAGCAACTCCAACACACAGCAGAACTCCTTCAGGCTTGTGATATTTGTGGAGATAAAACATCAACGATGCAGAGCAAACTGAGTCAGTGGTAGAGTCGCGTTGCTGTTAGCCAATCAGAGGGAAGATGTCCAAATATTAGCAAATAAAACTCCAAATCGTGTCGTCTGAAGCTCCTTTCTCCTCCAGCTGAATTTTCCATCTTCAGAGCCTTTTCCCCCCAGAGTACGACTTGTAAGGCATTCATTCCTGCTAAAGACCACTGCAAATATATAGATTTCGTGTCAGATGTTTCTCTGACTTGCTTTGATGTAACAATTTCTTTGTTGTTGTTTGTTCTAATCTCTGACTCTGTGCCAGTTGAGCTTCTATAACATTTCTCATTCATAAAAACGTCCATGCCATCCATTCCTTATCGCTTTTCCCAGAAATGTGTGTCAAAACAATCATTCTTTTATGTGTTGTTGGTGTGAGTCATCACCAGCAGACGCCGAGTCTAACAGGCCACTGTCTTATTGAAAAGGTATTTAGATACCTGCACCAGCAGGCCCTCAGCGTCACTGGAGTTGCACCTTTCCTGGCAAGTTTAAAATCAGCTCAGTGGGAACTAAAAAGCATTCACCCACATTCCGTCTGACTGCTTCACATCCACAAAGGACAACAACGGGGATGTTAACATGCCCAAGCTTTTGTTTTCAAAGATTCACTTTTATGATCTTAAGGATTTATTGATGAATGTGCAGAAGCCGAGAAGGTAAGTCTGACAGTCTGGAGATGAATGTCTTCATATTAAAAGTCAGGATTTTAGCTGATACTTTTTATTGCATTCGTTCCCCAGGATTGATATTGTTCTGAGTGGAAGGAGGCACAAAAACTACACCTGGAACATCTCTGGACAAAAAGTAACAAATGAGACTTCAGACCTCAGGTAGGATTTGACTACACTGTAAAACGAAAACATTGGTCCAACTTAAACAATTGCTTCAATTGGTAACAAGCAATTTAATTAAGTTCATCCAACTTAAATTATTAGTACAAATTTAATGATTTAGAATGATAAACTTAATTAAATTGCGTGTTACCAATTGAAGCAATTCACTTAGGTTGATTAAACTATTCTTTTTTTTCAGTGTACTTTAGTTACTTTTAGAGCATCTGTGTTTCATTAAAGTTGAGTTTTATTATTTAATCTCTTCTTTACAACAGTTGGCCGGATGACCGTAAACATCAGTTATCTCTGGAAAAAATACTGGCAAACAAAAGTAGGAAATGGTCATTTTCCTAAACATCACTCTCACATTCCACGTTTCCCGTTTAAAAAATGTTGATTTTCTTTTCTTTCCTTTGCACAGAATACTTAGCAGCCTTCCGCTCTTACCTGCAGTCTGAATTCAGCGAGGAAAACATCGAGTTCTGGCTCGCATGTGAAGACTTCAAAACAACCGCCTTGCCAGAAGACCTGCACTGGAAAGCAGAGAAGATCTACGAGGAGTTCATCAAACCCACAGCCAACAGAGAGGTCAGTTTGGAAAGGACACCAAGGCTGCAGACATTTCCCAAACAGTGGAAAGCAACTTAGCATCCACACAGGAGGTAGCACAGCTGATCACAAACAAGGCGGAAAACCTGGGTATCTGTTAAAGGTCATGGTGAAAGTGAACCTCCTCAAATCAAATTGTGGCTTTGAAATAAGGAAAATGTTAAATGAGGGTCGGGGTGAAAATTTGTTGAATGGTTGATGCTGTGGTCAGATTTAAATAACATCAAAACTTTGTCAGCTGTTTCGTGGTGAAGACAGTGGCGGTGCCAGGGGGGCGCTATAGCTACCCCTGGATTAGTCACTGCACCCCCAAGTAAATATTAGATTTTTTCTTTTTTTACAATTTAATTTTAATTGAACGTGTGGATGTGATAATATTTAACATACAAAACAAAAAATAATCAGTAAATTATCATATAGATAGTAAAAACTTAAACCAAAACAGGAAATTGATGTTAACCTTTGACCTCATTTCCCACCTGTGAACGAGTGAAAGGTAGAGCTAGCGGTAAAATGGATCGGTGTTTGTTGGCCACATTTCCACGGGTTCAGTCAGAAACGAATGAATATTTGGAAGTGATCTCAGACCCACAAAAACCTACGGATCTGGATGAAGAGAGTCAACCCTCAACCGCCGCAGCAGTCGAGGGTGTTGCCGCTGGAAATGCTAACGCTAACGTTAGCTAACCTTGCAACACTATAGATGGTTTTCTGTGTGGCTGTATGTGTTTATGATGTCATGGAAAAGTCAGCGATTGTTCATGTGTTTATGATGTTTATTAATGATTGTTTCAGGTGTTGTTGAGGTTTTGTGCACACATGTGTATCTGCTAGTGTTGAAGGTGTTTTAGAGAACAATAGGTACGCATGACCACTTCCTTCATAGCACCCTCAATAAAAAGACTAGCTCCTTCATAGCACCTGCAGAAAAAACATTTCTGGAGCCGCCACTGGGTGAAGATGAGCCAGTGGAGCAGAGTGCTTGGGGTTTAAAATGTTTAATAGGACAAATAAATGAAAACTACTAATCGTAAAAAAAAAAGTCAAGATTAAGAACATGTCCTCACTCATCAGTGATATTCGTGTAGCATTTGTTTTAGATTCTGCCAAAAAGGTGTAGTTTTGTCCGAATTTGATTAAAAACTGCAGTCTAAACCAAACTGCTTAATAAAAGTAACTCAATTTGGATAATAACCATTACCATAACCATAACCATAACCATAATAACCACCAAACACATTAACCAAACATTTTAACCATTCTGTATACAAGTAAATATTATCTTACCCCAAACAGAAATGCATCTGACTGATGAGTTAACAGCTGGTCCAGAACACAGCGACACATCTGGTCTTCAATTAGCCCAAAAGAACACACGTCACCGCTTAGATCCACTGGCTACCTTTAGCGACAGACGAGCTGGAGGGGTAAGGACAGGTGTGCAGTGCTGTTTCATTATATTGTAGGCTTGTGCGTTGTGTGCAGAACCGCCAGCACCCACCCATAGGTGCACAGGTGCCATCAGGCGACCACCACCGGCAGGCGAGGTGGGTTAAGGACACAACAGTCTCTGTCCAGAGCTGGGATCAAACCTGCAACCTTCTGATTGCTGGACAACCCGCACAACCTGTTCGGCTACTGCTGATGAATAGAGCTCCGGGAGTTGACGTCACTTCTCCCGGCATGCAACAGTTCAAATCAAAACGGCTCCATATTGGCAGGCAGAAGCCCGCAGCTGGACTATTTGTTATAGTCAGAAAACTCAATCAAACAGGAAATATGGTAGATTCCTGTTGTGCCCCAGGATGCAGAACAGACGCGGACGACATAAGGAATGAGCCATCTACAGGATTCCCCAAGATCCGGAATGCCGCAAATGTTGGATCGTTGTAATAAAACGCGCTAGTGACCGGGCTAAAATGAAACTGTGGGATCCCGAGAGTAAAGGTTTTCGCTTATGCAGCGACCGCTTCATATCAGGTACTTAAACCAACGTTTCCTCAACTGTGTATGGTGTTTATTTTAAATGCTTTTATTACGATTCTTAGTGGGCTTCCTAAACTTATTTTGGCGTGGCTTTTTCTGTCTTATTACTCACAGCAACAAGTAAACATCACGTAAAACGTTGCCTCGTGATTTCTGCGTGCTGCCGTTTACGTGTTTTATGATGACAGCAATTAACCGGCTAAGTTGTATTTCATTTTTAAGCAATGGTTGGTCAACTGTCAGATCACACATGAAAAGCACTTTGGATTGCTATTATCTGTCTCACCGAGACAGATCTCAGACAGATCCTGAGACGCTCCTGCCTGACATATTTATTTTATTCACGAAAAAAAATCAAACTAGTGATTTCTCTTGGAGTTCAGTTTATACATTCAAACAGCACAGCACTCTATTTAAACTACTTACGTGTAAATCTGTTATTTGTCCATCCATCCATCCATCCATTTTCATCGCTTATCCGGAGTCGGGTTGCGGGGGCAGTAGCGTCGAGAGGCCCAGACTTCCCTCTAACCAGTCACTTGGGCCAGCTCCTCTGGGGGAATCCCAAGGCGTTCCCCGGCCAGGTCCAGTAAGAAGTCCGCTCCGACAGCTTCTGGCGTTTCCCAGGGGCATCGAAAGGGTCGGAGATGTTTAGTCTATTTAATTTCTGACCATATAAAACGATTTCTTCGGTTTTAAAGTGTGAAGTAAACTCCGACGAAGTAAAATCCAAGCCGATCCCGTTCATTTTGTTTACCTTTGTTGCCTGCCAACATGGCGTCTACTCTCTGAGAGTCACGTGACGTCCGGAGCTCTATAGGAAACAGGGAAACCAGTGGATTCTGGGAAAGGCGGAATGGGTAAAAAGAGCAGAAAAAGGAGAGTAAAAGTAAAGTCTAATGCCATCATTCGAGCCATACAAACTTCCTTTAATGAACTTTTACATCATCATGAACTTAACATCTCAATGGTATTTAGGTAGAAATATTCATTAAGACAAAATATTATTCATGGACATGTTCTGCGTGTAAATAAACAAATATTAACCCTGTAATGGAAACGGTAAATGGAAAGTACCATTGCATGTAGTGCAGTGGTAATTATGATTAAATTAGAGAGACGTTCCTAATTTCATTTCGGATTTTATTACTTCAACTGAATGAACGTCTTTTTGGGAACACAAAACAAACCCTAGCTACTGTGATTCCAGCACACATTTCTGATATTTTCAACATAATGCTGACACGCAGCTGAAGGAAATCAAATGTGAAGCCAGCTTGTGTTTAATCATAATAATTGTTGAGTATTTCTTTTGTTTTCCTTTAGATCAATGTGGACCACCATGTTAGAGAGAAGATCCAGAGGTCCCTGGAGAAACCCAGTTGTTCCTGCTTCGATGAGGCCCAGAAACACGTTTATCTGCTGATGCTAAGAGACACTTGTCCCAGGTTCCTGCACTCAGATGCCTACCTGAGTCTTAAACGCAAATCCAGAACTATGTGGTATATTTAGGTCCATGACACTGAACCTGTTGCTGTAAGAAAAAAATAATAGTTTGCAGACATGTGAAGCATTAAATGTCATTTTTTAAATGAAAATAAAAGGATGTATTGATGGAAAAAGCTGCAAAGAAGGGAAAAGAAAAAGAAAAATGGGATTTATGTGACTGAAGATAATTTTTGCACAGGAGAAAGAATGCTGTATGTGTTTTTCAAAGACTGGTTCGGGATGGTTTGAGTTGCTGCTTGTGCTCACTGCAAGTGTATGAAAGCTGAAGTTTAATTTGCAAACAATAAATCATAATACGATGGAAAATAGTCTCTGTTATGTGGAAAGAAATGCATTACCCATTGTCATGATGAATAAGCGATATCTCAGTTTAGTCTATAGCTGCTTTATTCTATGTCCGACTGTCAGGGTATACATGTATCTGACTGAGGAAAGGCAGACGTGTGCAGACATGAGGATTGGCATGAGTCAAATAAAAACCAGGAAGGGTTTCCACTGCTCAAGTCACATGTCTAGATATGTTCTCTAATTAGGTGCAAGGATGATTCCATACGCCAGTAATAGGCTTTAGCCAACCGGGGAAAAAATCAACCTCTCTGTGACTCTTGATCCCACTCTGTTCTGTAAATGGCTTTATTTCAAAAAATTGTGCCTAAAAAGGAATACTGAGGCAGCTAAAAATAAGTCAGGGGCTTAAACAACAACACTGGAGTGATCAGACAACCTGAAGCGTAACAGCCAGAATGTGCTGCCTTGTTAAGGGAATAATCTTATCACCCAGAGACAATGATAGGGCAAATCCACAAACTAGTGAACTGAGAAGAAAAGAGATTGGTTGAGAAGCAACATCTTTTGTTTTAAAGTTACAGAGTGATTAAAGAGATTTATCTCATAAGGGCTAATGATTTTTTTTTTTTTTTTACAAAAGCTTCCTCACATCATAAATCAAATAAAAAAATACTCACAGTACTGCTGTTTTTACAGGTTTGGAAAATTATCTGCTAAAATTCTAAACATTTATGTGCAGGGAATTGGCCTTTAAAATGTCCATTTTAGGGGGGAAATTATGTTACTGCACAATTTTAATCTTCAAAGTGTTAGGATTGGGGCAATAACATATAAAGTTGGTTAATTCTCTATTCCAGTGTATCCCGGACAAGCCCCCAAATGTAGCAAACTAGGTTGAGTGGCAACAGCAAAAAGAAAAGAAAAGGTTAAAGAGGACATTTCATGATTTATTTTCCCCCAGTCGGGTCATACCAAAGTCCTTATAAAAATGGGACTCAGTGCCACCCTGCTTGACACTCAGCTTTAAGGAGTTGGATTGGGGGGTAAACCACCAAATAGTTCTCGAGTGCGGCCGTGTCTGGATTACCACTCTCCATGGGTATGGGTCAAATGTGGGGAACAATTTTCACCACACCACACCAGTGTGTGTGACTATTAATGGAACTTTAATCTGTAATCCCCCCCCCCCCCCCCCCCCCCAGCCATTTGTCTTAACCTTAATGGTTCAGTATTCTGACCAGCCAGCCCCATGCTTTCTTATAGGAAGCATTGGGTCTGGGAACATTCCTATTCAAATAACCCCACCCCCTGAGAATTCTGAGCCAATCAGAGCTGAGCAGCGTACGTTACACACCACAACGCTGAGTTTTTCATAAACATGGCATCTGAAGCGGAGTTCGTTGCGGCTCTTTCCTCTGTTCCAAATGACTCGAATGTCTTTAAAACCACAAGAAGAAGCTTTAAAAGCATTTCTTTTAAAGAAAGAAGTTTGCGCCGTCGCCAGACACAATTTTTTACTACAGCAAAAAAAATAAATAAATAAACTACAGCGTCGCGCGGTACAGTCGGCATTTCCACCTATTTTCTGGTTATTTTTGAGCTGGCTAGTCCCAACCCTTATGTGCCTCTCTGCCGGTGAGTAACCAGCTAGTTCCCTGTGTAGACAGAGGACGAGTCTGGCAGGCCTGGATAGAATCTCATAGCATAGTTTGTCCCCTTCAACAAAAAACAATGACAAATATAAAAAGAACAAAAAGAGAGGTTACATTTGAGTCGTAATTTAAGTTAGCAAGAGATTTTATAGGTCCACAGGTGTCCTCACGATGCAAACAGTTGCAGAACCAGAGAGTTATCCAGAGAGGTTCACAACAACACTCAACTTCATAGTGTCTCTTTTTCTGGAACCTTTGATGACACTCAATAAACCCATTCTATTAACTTCATGAAAAAAATAATCATACAATCTGACGCTAAACTTACAGTTTGCCTCAAAAACAAGCCAAAACAAACTTTATCGAGGACAGAGCATCTGCCATCGGACATCAATGCTGAGGTAGACCTGCTCTATTAAAGTACAAAGAAGTAAAGGAATTACCACCTTTACTAAAAAGGAGTTTCTGACATTGGCGATGAGACTGGGTTGCATTTTAGGTCCATTTTTGGTCCTCCTGTTGAGAAGACATAGTGTTACACAGGTCAAGAGTGCACTTCTTTCCTATTTCTAACACAGGATTTTTATCACTTTCAAAATATTCATAATTTCATCATCATGTAGGTTAGAAATAATTTTTTAAAGATTGAAATTATTATGGCTTTCTTTGGTAAACAGCCATGTTAGAAAAAACTCCAGTTCTTTGCAGGAAACTATCACAAAGTGGAGGCATGAACTCCCGCAGCAGCATCAGAAACCAGCCAAGCTCCGAAGGACGACGGACACGTGCTCTGCTGCATGTGGAACTGAAAACTTGTGATCACGGTCACTTTTCTGTCAGGGGTGAATCTTCTACTTTCAGCTGATGAGAGCTGTTTGAAAGTCATCAGAAGGATGCTCAGCATATTTGTTTGTCATTTCATATGACAGAAATCTGAGGATATTTGCTTGTATTTTAATACAGAATTTGTTTTTCCAGTTATGTTTACATGAACAGCAGAGAGTTGAATGAGGATACACAAAAAGAAAATTTAGCAAACAAAACACAACGTGGTTCATGTTCCATGATGACTTTTCATGCTCAGATCAAGAACTCAGTCTAATTAGACTTAATAAGTTGGTCAATTGCTATAAAAGTTTCAAAGTACTGCAGTTGTATTTGGAAACAGTTAAAATGCTAAGAAATATAAAAGTAAAAATACAATTCTTCATTTATAGCTGCAGATTATTTACACACCAGTATAGTTGCTGGCCACAAACTTGAACCATTTCCAGTTGCCACCACAAATAAGAAGCTTTATGGGTTTATTTTTATGAGCAGCATCATTTATTTCAAAGATCTACGTCAGTAACAGCGAGGTGTCAGGGGTTGTTCCTACTAAATCACCAAGTTCTCAAATCTCCCTCATCACATGGCTCACCATTCCTCACACGCAGCCTGCCACTGTTTTCTCATCCCCCAGCACTGTTGCCATGGTAGCCAAAAGGAAGTAAGTACTGTCAATAGCACAGCTTTGGTCAAGATGTCAGAAATTGGGAGCAACACTGTTTCCATCCATTGACAGTGTAACTCGGAGGTGTAACAGAGAGAGAATATGCTACCAGTGCAGTGTTGGGGTCTCTCTGTAACAGCTCGGCGCTCACGTCCATGTTTGGGCAAAAGAAGAAAAGCAGCATCAGTGAAGCAAAACGGAAGGACAGGTTGTAACAGGGCAGCAGGTCTGAATTGATGATAACTCACTCCAAATTAGTTCTAGTCGTTCTTTGGGTCCGTCGTGGTTGGTTTTTCTGTGTCTGCATCCACAAACTTTGGATTTTAAAGCAAGTTTTATACAAACCATTAAAACCATGTTTAAACTGCTGACCGATGCATTATTATTGTAAGGTTTGTGTTTTTGTAAATTTCCCATTTTGATTTACATGAAGCTGTATTTAACAGAATATGGCATCAAGCTTTTACCAAAAAGCAGAATGCACACGTTTTAGTTTGACATGTTTAATTATATCTTATAGATGCAGCAGTAGCTCAGGAGGTACAGCTGGTTGCCTCATGATTGGAGGATCGTGGGCTTGATTCCAGTTCCTGCCAGGTCTATGGTGAGCCTAAGTTTCCTCCCTTTCCGGTCGGCTCACGGGTCCCCGGAAGAACGAAAAAAATGAATGCAAGTCAACGAGGCTAAAAGAGCTATTTTCTAACACGCTTTGCCGTACGACCTGGATCGCACATATGTTGTACTTCAATTTAAATCAAAACTAATGATGGGTGTTTTGACCACGCCAGTTGCATACTTTGAGATTAATCAGCTTATAAAAGTTTGTAATTAGCATGACTACAAATGTAACGTCACCACAGAATCTCCTCTCCCCTAGCATAGCTGCTACTTACCACATGGCCAGATTTATGGTGTTTTTTTCCTCTTGAAGGAAGGATTTCAGGTTCGCTGAACTTACAACCATTTTCCCTCTGTCTGGTTCGGTGACGTCACCTTGGTGAAGCGCATTTTTAGTCCTAGACTTATTTTCACACAAAACCTAAAATAACGTTTCCCCCCGTTAAAAAAAAAAAAAAAAAACACTTTCTTGGTATCAAAATGTGTCTTTAAAAATCACGGACATCACATGTGAAATCCATGTAACAAAACAAGCGGAGTTAGAAAATAGCGTTTTTAGCCCCATTTACTAAAACTTCGACTTTATTTATAGAAACCCTTCCTACCCCCTACCAAGGGGGCCCAAGGTGATGAACAAAGGGTTCAGAACAACTAAAACACAATAAAACTGCTGTATAATAAAACGCGGAAATACAACTTTTAAAAGGCAGTAAAAGATTTAAAAAGTCATAAAACAAAAATGATCAGAACATTAAAAACATGAGTACAAAAGTTAAGAACTAGATCTAAGATCAACCTTCAGCCTAGCTTTAAAAATGGCCAGTGATGTAGACTGTTTTATTTCTACTGAGAGTTGGTTCCAAAGCCGAGGACCCAGAACCGAAAAGGCACGACTCTCGCTGTGACCGCGGAACCACCAGGAAGTCACTCTGACGCAAATGCAAGGATCTTGCAGGGACACAACGGGTCAGCAGTGAGGCCAGATATGGTGGGACAGTTCCAGACAACGAGTTAAAAACAAAGACCAAGATCTTGAATAAGATACAGTGACTTGCATTCACTTTTTAGTTCTCCCAGGGACCCATGGTCCGAAAGGAGATGGGCGTGACTTAGGCTCCCTATCCTGCTGTTGTGTCCTTGTGCAAGACACTTTACCCAGCTTTCCTGTGTTAGTAATGGTCCGAGGGAACGATGGCCTCTGTCAGACCGCCTCAGGGCGGCTGTGGCTACGTATTAGCCTGCCATCATTGGCAATGTGTGTGAATGTGACAGTGCGTGAATAATGGTGTACCGAAACTCTAATTTCCCTCTGGGATTAATAAAGTATCTTTGATTGATTGATTTGATTGATTGAAAGCGCTTTAGGTGCCTAAAAAAGCACTTCATAAATCCAATCCATTATTATTATTATTATTAGTAGTAGTAGTAGTAGTAGTAGTAGTAGTAGTAGTAGTAGTAGTGGTAGTATTACTTCCGAGTGATGAAAAAACATGATGCAAATATATGAATTACAAATACTTAAAAAAATTCAGTGAAAACAGTTAATATTTAACCTGTTGTAGATCCGGCCTCACAAGAAAAATGATCAAAAGGCTGCTTTTGCAGCACTTCTGGTTGGAATTTTTGATTATTTAGCAAAAATAACCAAATTGTGACATTTACGGCACAGGAACGGTTACGACATAGCATGTGAACAAACTGCTACAACTGTCTTACAGTTAGAATTTTTTGAGGGGCACTTAATAACTGACTCTTTCTCTAAACTGAGGCCATTCAAATAGCTATCCACAAAATATTTAATAATAATTTCAAAAGATCATTTGAACAGTCACGGTGAAGGATGAGATTTCTGTTGCACTGCCATGTTGTTTTTTGGTCTGTGGGAGAGGACTAAAGTTACTGGACAAAATCCATGCATGCATGTGAGAAAAATGCAAACTTGACAGAGGAATAGACCAGCAATGTGTCTCCATCTGCAACACAACGATAAACAACTATCAATAACAATAAACTAGCAATTTTCTCTCTTTGAACGTAACTCAAGCAATGTTGTAGAGCCGGTTAATTCAGCAGGGTACTTCTAAATGTACTTCTAAATGTGTTATTTTTGCTTTGTTTTTCATCTGCTCACAACAGTGAATGCATTCTGGGTGAAGCGGGCTAAAACAGTCACATCAGAACAAAATCACCAAACACCATAGATGAGCACCAGGGGACTGTCCTACCTCCTGATCACCTGCCTTTAGGCACATGTAACCTGCAACATTTCAGAATCAGAATCAGATTAACTTTATTGCCAGCGCTCCTTTCAGAGCGTAGGAACTTGACTCCATGGTACAACCTGACCAAGGTTACACACACACATATAGACAAGACAGATACAGGCAGACCATTTCTACTATAATTAGTGCTTGTGATCGAGCAATTATCTCTCTTTAAACGTAACTCGGGCGAGGTCATGGTGTGACAACCATCAACAATACTAGCGTCTATGGAAACAACTTCATTTTCTGGGAATTGTGAGAAGAGCATCGATGAGGATTCAGATTGAAAGATCACGCTTCTACTCCCTGACCAACCTTGTTAGATGAACTGAAGTCAGCACATGATGGATTGTGAAATAACAGCTTTATCTAATAAGCAGTCAAGTACTTTTAGAGACACTTTTCTGACTAGGCATGTTTTAGCACCATCACAAATAGGAGCCATTTGTGCAAAGTGTTCTGATAAAGTGTGACACCATGCACAAACACCTGAAAGCATAGATTCTTCTCATAAAAAGACTCAGAGGTCATCTTTAATCGGATTTTCAATACATTTGCAGTGGTTTCTCATTGGAACAATTGCTTTGTAGGTTGTTTTCTGAAGAAAAAAGCTCTGGTGTGCCTGTTTAAGGGCTGGAGGAGAAAGTAGCTTCAGAGACAGGATTTGGAGTCTTATTTCCTGATATTTGGATATCTCTCCTCTGATTGGCTAACAGCAACACAACTCTACCACTGACTGTTTGTTCTGCAACACTGATGTTTTATCACCTAAAAATATCCCTAACCTGGAGGAGTTCTGCTGTGTGGTAGAGTTGCAAATGCTAAAAGTTAGCTTCTACTAGCCGAGGCATTCTCAGCTGTTTCCTGAATGCTAAACCAACAACAGCCTTCCCCGTCGTGAGTCAAGATGGGCGAGTCCAAGAACGTTAAGTGACAGAGTGACATAGATCTGTCAGGACTTTCTGTGTCAAGCATTTTTCTGTCTATTTTGTATCAGAGGCTAATGCAGGAGATAGGGGTAGAAGACTATTTTCATGTTCAGCCTGCATGTTAAACTCAGAGCAACTGATAATTTTCAAAAGTAATAAGTAAGAAATTATTTATTTTTAACAGCAGAATCCTGCCATAGGTCAGTGCTACTGATGCTAACAACAGCTAATGCTAACTAGTGATGTGACGTTCACGAACGAATCAAATCTTTTGAACGGGTTTTCAAAGTGAATGATGAGAACCGAGTCCCTGTAGAGAACTGTTCATCTTAACAAACCTCCCCGGAAGTTGGTCAAACTCACCCGCTCAAACCCCACCCACCGCTGTGACGGACGGAGGAGGAACCATAGAAACACGTGTTTGTATACATATCTTGGGAGGAACGCTAACCAACCCCGTGCGCCCTGACGGACACCGCAGGAAGACGTTGCTCTTGATACCCCTCAGTCTGTTGGCTTCACTTCGTTCAAAGGAGCCAGTCTTTTGAACGGCTCTTTGAGGTAAACGACCAACTAATGAACGGCTCCCATGAAAGAGCCATAAATCCCATCACTAATGCTAACTCCTTGCCAAAATGCTAATTCGCTACAAGTTGTCACTCTGCAGCTTGAATTCTGGCAGACCCAAGTTGTTTTTCTCACCGGTCAG